CCCCCGGGTGTGCTCGCCCCTGCCGGGCTCGCCGGGCCCTCGGACCCTGGAGGGGGAGTCGTTTTCCCGCCTGGGAACGTGCGGTGCCCCGCGCTCTGCGGGCTCGGACCGCGGCAGAGTCCAGAGGAAGAAATCACCTGGCAAGGTCTGGGCCGGGTCAGGGGCTTCCTTCTTAATGTGTGACACGTGGGGACTGTTGTGCTTGGTACTTGGGTTCGGGTCAGCAATCTTGAAGCCCATTTACCGCGAGCAGGTAAGCACGCTGTGAAGCGAAGTGTGTGTGGGGGAGGCGAGGCGGGAGACAGCTCCAAGCGTCCTCTTCACCGTGGTAGAGATTTTATTTGTAGAACTCTTTTGATCTGTTGCACTTGTCGAAAAATACAGCAGTCTTGGGCCTGCTGGATCATTGGAGTTTGTTGATTGAACCCAAGGCCTTCACACTGATCTACATCCCCAGCCATTGTTATTTTTTATTTATTTTAGGTTTTGTTTTTGAGACAGTCTCGCTATTCAGTTTAGGCTGGCCTTGAACTAGCAGCGAGCCCCCTGTTTCAGCCCACCGAGCGCAGTGCTGGGAATTCAGGCCTGCACCACCACTCCGGGAGTCTTTGTTATTTTTTGAGGTAGGGCCTTGTGAAGTTCTTTTTTTTTTTTTTGGTACCGGGATCGAACTCAGGACCCTGCACGAGGCAGGTGGCAGCACCAGTGAACCAAATCCCCTGCTCCTGCAAAGCTCTGAAGCGCCTAGAGTGGGCTGAACTTGTGGTTTTCCTGTCCCGGCCTTCCAGAGTGTTAGGATCACAGGTGTGTAGCCGTTATACCCAGCGAGTCTGTTGCTTTAAATCAGGACTCTCAGATGGTTCTGCTGAGGCATGAGCGGGAAATGTGTTAATTGACCTGTACTCACCTGGTCTTTGTGTGACCAGCATCACACCTGTCCCTAATGCTGTAGCTCAGGATGTTAGTGCTTGCTGGAGTTGTATAAGCACAGGTGAACAGCAGAAGCCCCGGTCCTAGGTTGTTCAGCAGAAGTTATTCTTAGTAGAGAATATTAGTGTCATTATCAAGAATTAAAAACATATAATTTCTTTGTAAAGAATTTACAGAGGCTTTGAGTCTGACGTTTTCGTTGTCTTCTTTTCTGGCCTTATCTCCTTTGCTGTCAAGCTTTCTTTGATTTTGCTGTCAAACCTGCTGGAGTAGGGGTGGGATGGGGCTGCCTCCCTTTCTTTCCTTGTTTATTTTAAGCTTTCTTCCTTTCTGCCAGCACCTCTTCAGTTTCTTGGAGATCATGATGAGCAAAAGGTCAGCAAGTTTTTTCTTGGTTTTTATCACCCTGGGCGCTTTTTTCTATCCCTGGTACCAGGAAAAAAACAAGGTATGATCAAAATACTACACAGTGAGAGCCGGGGATTTAGCTCATTGGTTCTGCCACCTGCCTTGCAAACTCAAGGTCCCGAGTTCAATCCCTGGTACAAAAAATATAAAAAAAACTACGCAGCGAATGTTTAAGTTAAAAACAAATTCATTACAGTAAAAGACACATTGTCATTAATCTCCCTCAAAATTTTCTCACTTTGAACACACTGATAGCATGTTCTTGCTCTGGAAGTCCTCTTAGATAGGTATCTTTACGTGGTGTGATTTAAAAATATGGTGACTGCTGCTGAGTGCCATCCAGTGGAAAAGCAGGCTTGTACAAATATTAAGGTGTGGGCCAGGGATTTAGCTCAGTGGTTCTGCTGCCTGCCTTGCAAGTGCAATGACCCAAGTTCTATCCCCGGTACCAAAAAAAAAATTAAGGCCTTCATTCATTGTATTCACCAGATAGGCCACTATTCGATTTCTGGCTCTTCTCAGAGTCAGTGTGACAATGAAAGGTAAATGTTTGAATTGTTTCAGAACATACAGGAACCACAGCAGCACAAATGAAGACACTTGGGAAAGAGGACTTCCAGAACTGCTTCACAGGGTGGCAAGAACGAGGGCATAATGAAGCAAGGGGCAGTGTTTTGAGGGGAATTTAATGGCAATGTGTTTTTTACTGGAATAGAATTTTGAAATCACCATACTTTTCAGTCATATCTTGTATATCTTGAGATGAAGCTATGGGCTGGGGATGTAGCTCAGTGGTTCCTCCGCATGCCTCACAAGCACAAGGGCCCAAGTTCGATCCCTGGTACAAAAAAAAAGCAAAGAGATGAAGCTGAAAGGGATCAGGAATCTAAGAATCTAGTAGGACCATAATTGGTCTCTACTGTCATGAGCTTCCTCTTGGTGCCCAGTCTGTCTGCATTGCTTCCCTTAGATGAGGGGATGCGGAGCCACTTGGGGGTGGAGGCAGCTTTACTACCAGTATGCTGCCTTGATGCTCACATGTCTGCCCCTCACTGTCTGAGTCCTCGTCCTCCTGTGTTTTGATGCTGGCATGGTCTGCCAGTAGGTTGGTTTTAAGTTTATCAAAACTTGAACAGTCCTTTGTTTTGCTGTTAGATTTTGCAGAAACCTTTAACTCATTGTATCCTGGACCACATCAGACCAAGTATTGGCTCCACCCTCAGGTCCTGCTACCCAGGACTCATTTTAGACCCTTCGGCCTTCGCTGGAGGTCTCTTACTGTCTTCCTAAGCAGACATCACAGACCTGTTCTGTACCTCTGCTCTGTGTGCTTTCCATCTCTCTTTGTCTCTGCCCAAATTGCCCCTCCAGTGCTTAGCTACATCCTACTTTCAATGTCACGCTTTTCCTTTTGCCACCTCTTATGTTAATTGTCCTGTAGAAATGTGCGCTTTATTGTCCTCTGTGACTTGTGTAAATGATAAGCCTACCATGATTAATAATCCTTTCCTCCTTTCCAGGAAAAACATCTAATATTTAAATTTCTACCGTATCACCCACAGAAACACAAAGCTTCTCACCCTTCAACTGGGCTCTGGATTCCAACTGTTTCCTTCCCAAGGACCCTGCTTCTTTTTTTTGTTTGTTTGTTTTTGAGACAGGGTCTCACTCTGTAGTTGAGACTAACCTGGAACTCACTATGTAACCCAGGCTGGTCTCGAACTCACAGCGATCCTCCTGCCTCAGCCTCCCAAGTGCTGGGATTACAGGCGTGTGCCACCACTCTCAGCCACCCTGCCTCTTATTTATTTCTGTTTTTCCATTCTGTTATTCCCATAAGATGTGAAGCATTCTTACTAGCCCCATCTTTTTTTTTTTCCTCTTGGTACTGGGTGTTGAATTTAGGACTTTGCACTTGTGAGGCAGGTGTGGCACCACTGAGCTAAATCCCCAGCCCCTGTCCCTCATCTTTAAAAAAGCAACCAACCTTGCTTTTTGCCTCAATTTTTTTCCTTTTCCCCTCCCCTGCTCTTTTGTCCCCAGGGTCTCACTATGTAGTGCAGGCTGGCATGGAACTCCTTATGTAGCTCAGGTTGGCTTTGGACTTGTGATCCTCCTATTTCAGCCTCCAAATTCTGGGATTATGTATGTGTACCACCATGCCAGGTTTGTTTCATTTTTCTACTCTTCAGCGCAAAATATAAAGAGATTGTCTCTGCTCCCTTATTTTGTCTGCTCTTCAATTTTCTCTGGTTTGTATTTCATCCCTAACACTCATGAAAATGACTTATCAAGGACACTAAGGCCCTTCTGTTACGTCATTCTTGTGGACACATGATCATCTTGCCTGATTTTTCAGCATCATAGTTAATCCCTTCTTGAAACGCTTTCAGATCTCAGCTTTAGTGGCATACCTGTTGGCCAGTCTTTCTTTATCTGTCTGGACATTCTTTGTGTCCGCTAGAGTTCAGCCTTTGTGTCTAGCCTTCTTTTCTCATCCCTGTCAGTGTTAGGCAACCTCAGGGTTCTTCTAGTTCCTTTCTGAATGCCTGGGTCTGTGTACTGCATTTAGGGTACGGCTCCCAAACCTTTCCCCTAATTTGCATGCGTTTACTATGTTCAGCTCTGCTTGGTGTTTCCACTTGGATGTGTAGTGGGGATCCCACGCTTGATGTATGTGATGTGATAGAAAATTAGAGTGAATTTTTTTGTTATTTCTGTTTTTTGAGACAGGGTCTTGCTCTGTAGTTCAGGCTGGCCTTGAACTCACTATGTAGCCCAGGATAGCATCAAACTCTTGACAATCCTCCTGCCTCAGCCTCCTGAGTGCTGGGATTATGGATATGCACCAGCACCCCTGGCCAGTGAATGTTTAAATTAAGATTAATTACAGTAAACAATATAGCACCTCAGAATACTCTCCCTCAGAATACTCTCCCTAGTTTCAACACACTCTATTATCTTTGTCACTTTCTGAAGCAGTTCTGGAGGTCCTTTATTGTGTATCTTTAATTGTGTTGTCATGGTTTCCTTGATTTCCTGAAACAATTCAGAACGTTTACCTTTCATGGTCATCTGAACTTGGGCAAGAGCCAGAGTCCCATGATGTTAGTCCTGGTGAACACAGGATGAGGACACACCGCAATGTTTTTACGAGCCTGCCTTTCTCTTGGATGGTGCTTAGTAGCAGTATTCACTGTAGGTTTTTTTGTTTGTTTTGTTTTTTGAGACAGGGTCTCACTATGTAGTTGAGACTGACTTGGAACTCACTGTGTAGCCCAGGCTGGTCTCGAACTCACAGCGATGCTCCTGCCTTGGCCTCCAAGTGCTGGGATTACAGGTGTGCACCACCTAGCCCGGCTAAAGAAAGCTTATT